TCTAGTCTTTTGCTATTACAGACAATGCTGCAGTGAAGATCTCTGTACATATGCTATGGATAATGCACGTGTGCGTGGATTGCTAGAGGTGGCATTGCTAGGCTGGAGGCACTGCTCTCCACCCTTGGCTATAATGCTGATGATGAGTTACAGCATTGTTTGTGTAGGCACAGGGTCAAAGTGTCAATTAATTTACAAAGTGAAGCTGAGCACCTTTTCATTTGCTACTAATTCATTAAGTTTCTTTTTCTGTGAATGTACAGTTCACAGACTGAGTCTAGTTTTCTCTTCGATTTTCTATTAAGGAGTTCCAGGAACTCCTTACATATTAAAGAAATCACCCCTTAGGGTCTCATGTCATGCAAGCAGTTTTTTCTCAGTTGGTCCTGTTACTACTCACCAATGTTCCTACAGTCACACTCTCCAGTCTTCTTCATCTATTACTTTTTGTTTTGTCTTGATTGGAAAGGTCTTGCCACTCCAAGATTCTAAAAACATCCCTGCTTTCTATTTAGTGATTTTATGATGTATGGTACACTGAAATCCTGGATCCTCTGGAATCTAGGTATATAGGGAAGGAGGCAGGCATCCCGCTCTGGTTTTTTGTTTTTTAAGACAGTCAGCACTTCCAACACCATGACTGAATCTCATCATCCCCCACTGATATGAAGCCTCTGTTTACAATGTACACACTTCCCATTTACATCTCTACCCTCAGGTGCTCCACTGACCTGCCTTTCTAGCTACATGCCAGTATAACACTATTTTCACATTTACTAGAGCCAATATGCTTTATTACTCTGATTTTCCAGAATTTTCCTAGCTAGTCTTGCATATTTATTTTTCACATGTACTTTAGAATCGAGTTTTCTAGTTCTAAAATAAATTCTTTTGGTGTTCTTAATGGTATCACATTAAATGTAAAAACTAATCTGGGGAAAGCTGCTATCTTTAAAATAGATGTTTCTATAGATAACAGAGTATTTCCCCCCCATTTAATCGTCTTCCTTTATACCCTTCATTAGCACTTTATGTAATGTACTGCCCACATATTTCCTACAAGAATGTGCCTAAGTAGTTAATCTTTTTAGTTGCTGTTGTAAAAGCGTATTTATTTCCACTGCATTTTCTAATTTCTGCATACAGAAAACCTCTTGATTATTACATATTAATAATGTTGTAATCCCCTGCTTTGCTAAATTCTCCTTTGTCTCTAGTGTTTCTTTAGTTTTCTCATAGTAACCCAGGTTATAATCCATCATTTGCAAACAATCATAACTTTGGCTTTACTTTCTTCTTCTATTTTTTTGGAGTTGGGGTCTCCCTCTGTTGCCCAAGCTGAAGGGCAGTGGTGTGATCCTAGTTCATTGTAGCCTCGAATTCCTGGACTCAAGTGATCCTCTTACCTCTGCCTCTCAACTAATCTTTTTATACTTATTTCTTTCTTTTGACTGATTACATTGGCTAGTAACTCCAGAATAATGTTCAGTAATCATGACGCTGACATCCACATCTTCCCCAGACTTGAATGAGAACAGTTCTACGTTCATCATTAAATAAGCTGCTGGCTTTTGACTTCAGATGTGAATTTTTACCATGCTAAGGAGATATTCAATCATTTCTATTCTACTGGCCAGTTGGTTTAATCTGAATGGATGCTGAATTTCACTGAATGCCTTTTTGAAATCTCTGGAGATGACTATGTGATTTGTCTCCTTTTATCTATTAAGATGGCAAATGTATATATCCTAATAATAAATAGACTAATCTTTGCACTGTGCTGATACCATTTTACACATTTTAGAATGGCAAAGGTAAAAATTCAGATCAAACCACATTTGTGAGGGTGCAGCCAGGGAAGAGCCATTCTTATGCAGATGGTCCTTGACTTACAATGGTTGGACTTATGCTTTTTCACAACTTTACAATGGTGTGAAAATGATGCGCATTCAGTAGAAGTTGTACTTTTCTGAATTGCGATCTTTCCCTGGGCTAGCAATATGCTGTACAACACTCCCCAGCACATGACACAGCCCCTAGTCGGCCATGAGACCTTGAAGATAAACAACCAATACCCTACTGTATATTAAATGCATTTTTGACTTATGGTATTTTCAACCCATAATCAGTTTATTAGGATGTAACTAATTCCATCTTAAGGAGCATCTGTACAACGTTGGTGGAAACATACACTAGCATAACCTCATTGGAAGAAAATATGGCAATCTTTACTAAAATTTTAAATGCTCATAAACACATTACTGCAGCACTGTTTATAATAGCAAAAATATGGAAACAATCCATGTGTTGATCAATGGGAGCAAGTTAACTATATCATGATAAACCTGGGCACTGTAACACTATATATGCTGTTATGTTAAAAGACTACAAGTACAGGGTGATAGGAAAAGCTCTCTAAGATAATACTGCTATGTGTAAACAGCAAGCTATAGTTCAATGCATATATGTACCTCTGTGTAATAAACAGGGAGATACACTTGCTTATAGTTATAGAAAGACACGCAGGAGGAATATATAATCATGTAGAGTTAATAGATTTTGATGTGTGGGGAGAGAGAGAGAGAGAGAGAGAGAGAGAGAGAGAGAGAGAGAGATGAGTTGAGAGCTGGGTGAGAGAGAGAGAGATGAGTTGAGAGCTGGGCCAAAGGTTGATTGAGAATGAGCTTTATATATTTTTTATTTTTGAATAGTATTTTTATATTGAATAATCTATCATCTATACAAAAAAAACTTAATATACAAAACCTATGGCCCCAAATTTTATTACTAAAAATTCATACTGCAAACAATTTTACACTTGTAAGCAAAGATATACAATACTGCAAGAGCATTCTATTAGCAAGACCAAAAACAGCCTAAATGTCATTGGAAGTTGGTTAAATAAGTTTTATGCCAAGTAAGAGCTTCTGAGGTAATGGCAACATTCTATTTCTTAAACTGGGTATAGCATATGGGTATCCATGTTAGAAAAGGCCTTTCTCTTACTTAATAAACAATGGGGGGGGCAAAAAAAGAAACAACTTAAAAATTATAAGCATCTATTCAATGAAATATTATACATCTGTGCAAGAGTCTGGTAGATATATGTATGCTGATTTGTAATGATCTCTAAAACACTTTAGTAAGTAAAAGAGTCACAGTATAAAACAAAAGATATAATGTATACTTACTTTTGTTTAAAACAAAAAGAAAATGCCAGTTACGCATAGAAATTTCTAGAAGCACTCAAGAAACTGGTATTGTCATGTACCACATAACACTTGGTCAATGCATATGGAGCAGTGATCCCCTAAGATTATAATGGAGCTGAAAACTTCCTATCGCCTAGTGACATTGTAGCCACTGTAATGTCATCTAGTGTAATGTATTACTCCTGTGTTTGTGGTGATGCCAGTGTAAACAAACCTATCACGCTACAAGTTGTACAGTATGTAATATCTGTCAATAATAAATAAGCTAACTGTAAAGCAGCCTCAGGCAGGTCCCTCAGGAGGAATTCCTCCTGAAGGAAGAATTCCAGAAGGCGGCACTGTTATATCATAGGAGATAACAGCTCCGTGAACGTAGTCTTTGAAGACCTTCCAATGGGACAAGATATAGAGGTAGAAGACAATGAATGATATCGATGATTCTGGCCCAGTGTAGGCCTAGGCTCATGTGTGTATGTGTCTTAGTTTTTTCTTCTTTTTATTTTATTATAGAGATATGGGTACAAGTCAGGATCAGGGACATAAGTAGTCTAGGTGCAGGTGAAGTTTGGGCCTCCCACTGGTCCTCACTTCCCCTGGTTTAGGATCAAGTACGCTTTGTGATACCATGCCCTTCTGCCCTTCTCCCTCCCTGGCAGTGTCCCACGACGGCCAATCCCTCCCTTGTAGCATTGTGACAAATGTTCAGGACCCACTTATGTGTGAGAACATGTGGTATTCAGTTCTTTGTTTCTGTGATAGATCACTAAGTAGGATGAACTCTAAATCCATCCTGTGTCTTAGTTTTTAAGAAAAAAGTTTAAAAATTAAAAATTAATAAAAAAACCTTACAGAATAAGGACATAAGGAAGCATTTTTGTATCTCTGTACAATGCATTTATGTTTTAAGCTAAGTGTTAAGTTAAAGAACAGTCAATAAGTTAGAAAAATTAAGAAGTTTATAAAGGAAAGTTACAGTAAGTGAAAGTTAATTTACTATGATAGGAAGAAAAATATTTTAAAATCATTTAGTTAGCCTAAGTGAGCAGGATATATCAGGCCCACAGTAGTGGACAGTGATGTCCTAGACCTTCACACTCACCCAGAGCAACTTCCTGTCCTGCAAGCTAATTCATGGAGGTGCCCTATACAGGTGTGCCATTTTTTAATCTCTTATACTGGCTTTTTAATGTACTTGTTCTATGTTTAGACAGATACACAAATACTGACTGTTGAGTGACAGTTGCCTACAGTATTCAGTACAGTAACACGCTGTACAGATTTGCAGCTAGGAGTGAGCAACCAGTTGTAACATTTAGCCTGGGTGTGTACTAGGCTGTACCATCTAGGTTTGTGCAAGTGCACTCTATGATGTGCTCACAGTGATGAACTCATCTAGTGACACATTTATCAGAATATGTCCCCATTGTTAAGCGACCCATGACTGTGATAGTACAGGGGTCCGGGAAGGGAAACTATAAGTCTGAGACAGAAATGAGACTTTTCGTTGTACCCTTTTGCCATCAGTTTGAATGATTTTCTATGCACATATATATTCCTTTAAAGTTTAGAATTAAAAAGATGAAAAAGGATCATGCTCACTGCAAGCGTGACTACATTCACTCCTGGCTGATTCCCTGTTTTCTAAGAGGCTGTGGAGACAAGGCTGGACTTGTTTCCCTCAACTTGCCCCTTCGGTCATTCACAGCTAACACATATCCTTTTTACCCCTGGGTTACAGGCCACCCCCACCTGGTGACACATGGCTGTAGCCAGGATTGGGATACTCACTTGGGCTCGTGAGGAGGTCCAGACTGGTCAACCAACTTGAATTCGGCAGCGAAGCCATGGGAGCGGGCGTACTCCAACAGGCCGCCCACAGGGTTGGTGTTCAGGTACCTGACGAGCTCACCAATCCTCCTGACCTTGTTGGGCATCATAGACTCCAAGTTATCCAGTGAGTCCATGTTTGCACCTCCGAGCTAAAGGAGAATTAGTCAAACAAAGAGGACCCACAAACACTTCAGGAAACGCTGAGGGACTCATAGGCAATACTAAACTGCTCAGCTGCTAAAAACAACCTGTCTCTTGAGTAAGAAAACGCCCCACCTGGTCATCAGAAGGCATTGAGTTGGTCGCCTCTGCATGCAGGGCCTTCATGGCTTCCTCTGCGGCCATCTGCTTTGCCACTTTCTTGCTGGGGGCACTCACAGTGGGGAAAGTTTGGGCACCCACGGCCACGCAGTACTGGAACCTGCCAGAGGTGAAGGGAGGGGGATTAAGGTGGCTTTGACTGAGGAGTGTGACCTTGCCACTGTCGAGCTGTTGTCCTTTTCTGCTGGTAATTTCCTGGAGCACAGCACCTCTGTGCAGTCACTTCTCATGCAGCCACTGCCTTGAACAGCCAGCATCTCTTAGCCTAGCTGACCTCTTTCCACAAGTAAGCATCCACCAGGTTTCACGCCCTCCAGGCACCCTTCTCTCAGACACATGCGTCTACAGACCCATAGGCAGAGAGCGTTCAGGCCTTGCACCTTTTTGTCCCACCAGGCTGCATACCTCCCTCGTGGTTGTTTCCTTTGAGTTCCTAATCCCCAATTTTCTGCTTCATAAGCAGCAATCAGGCCCTCCTTTTCCCATTTTGAACAGGACAAATTGCTTGGTGAAATATTTTGCCATCTTGAGGAAGCAGGAAGGAAAATGCGTCTCTTTTTGAGAAAACCTCAGCAGAGATACAGTGTCTATGGGACATACTTGGGCTCGTGGGCGGGGCCTTCTTTGGATAGGAGACGGAATTCACAGGAGTTCCCCAATTTGTGCATACACTCCAGCAATGTAGTGACGGGGCTCTTCCCAGAAAATAAGGATGTTGCTGAAGGGGCAGTGGGCTGAGACTCTGCAGTCTAGAGAAAATGAGAGATGAGAAAACAAAACTAAGAAAACACCGGTTAGTCCACCACAAAGAGGTATGGGGATGGGAGAATGTCTCCAGCCATCTAAATGTTAAGGGGCTGGCTTTCCTAAGGAAAGGGGTTGCTGGGATTCCAGAGAAAGGGCGACTGATGTAAATGTCCTGGATCTCAGGTCTCATCTTCTAGAGAGGACACTGGACACGATCATCTTTCAGGTCTGTTTCCACTCTGAAATTCTGTAAATCCAGTTAAATTGGGAGAGGGCAAGAAGGGGGGCTGGGACTGAGAGGAGGGAAAGAGGGCTATGAGGTGGGGAAGAGGGAAGCATGGGAGGCTGACAGGGAGAGACAGTGTCAGCTGTTTATGCTGGGTCAGTTACGATCCTGACACAGACAGAGAGAGCTGATAGCCTCCCAGAGGGCAGGGCTCCTACCTTCTCTGAATCCTCCATGGAATAGGGGGATGAGTCTTCCGATTTTCCACTGTCCTTAGCTTTGGCTTCCTCAAGAAGAATTGTCATGGCCTTCATTGCTGCATCCTGCTTGGCCACTTTCTTGCTTCCAGCTTCAGCTGGGGGAAACTCTCGGCCACTGATGACAACCTGGAATTTAAATCTTGACGGAAAGTGATTAGCTATGTGAACACTAGTCTAGGCCATCCCATCTGCCCTTGCCAGACAGTTCCTGACCCTGAAATTTTCTGCCATACTGAGAAGCTTTTGACTTGGGGAGATGGAGGGCAGGACAAGGAACTGCTATTCCTTTACAAAACAAAGCAGCCAGTGACTCTCCCCCCATAGCTCAGTGGAGCAAGCACTGACACAGGTGACATGAAGCTAGCTCAGGAAAACCCACTATCTCATAGCAATGGATTAGGATAAAGCCCATACAAAACACGATGAGCTGAAGACCATTACAGTGTTGTGAGCAACCAACAGTCCTCCATACTAAAGCAGCTGTGGTGGGCTGGCCTCCTCAAGGGAGGGTCCTGAAAGACAGTGGGCTTCTTAAGGCCCAGTATCATACTCCCCAGCTGCCTAGAGGGATCAGACACCTGCCATCTATCAAGGGCCTGTTTCTATCCCTAACCTACCCTCAGATGTGTATCACTCAAAGTTTGTCATGAGTCATTCCATAGCTCTATCTTTCCCAAGCCGGAGATGAAAGAAATTTCCCCTTGTTATGTAGAAAATAACAAAGAATTTATACTAGGTCTTTGGACTTAGCCTAGGCTTCCTTTGTTCAAGCTTTCAAATTTGTTCAGCTCTCTGCTCAATTTAGGATTTTATTTAGAAAAGTAGGTCAAATTTCTTATTTCCTATGTCTTCTGAAATATTTGAATGTGGCACGGATGAATCCCAAACCCCACTGTGTCCCCCAGCCCCAGGGAGGAGGGGTAGGAAAAGGAAAACGATGGCCAGCCCACCTCTACCCCAAACAGAAATGAACCAGTTTCAGCCCTGCCAGCATCTGGACAGACACATGCTGTTTTTTTAACAGCTCTCCTGAAATGCCAACTTGGTGTCATTAAGACAGTCAAGATAAGGAGTAAGGGCCATAGCCAGGAATCATCTCCCCCTAAAGACCAGTCTGGGTAAATATAAAAGTTAGTGGGATCCCCCCACACCTCTGCCTCTCTCCCTAGCTGCAGTGGTCTCAGCTCTCTGCTAGCTCCTGCAGCAGTTTTCTGGGCCCACCTGTCTTCCTTAACCGCCCACTGGCCTGCAGGACCCTCTAGTGCCAGGCATAGCCAGCATCTACGAGTGAGGCAATCTCTGATTGCACAGCGCAGGAGCAGCCCCAAGTGCTAGCCTACCCATCTGTGCAGAGGAGGTATACAAAATTAGAACTGCCACCTTCAGCAGGCAGGCAGGCAGGCAGCCGTGCACACTCTACACCAGCCTTTCCTCTAGGAGCTGTATGGGGGGAGCTGGACTCACTGCTGCTTAGCAGCACTGCCCACCCTCGCTCTGTGTGCAGCCTGCCCAACCCACCTGCTCCCGTGCCTCTCTCAGGAACTGAGCTTGGGGAGGGGATGTCACACAGAAGCAGCTGGGAAGGGAGTTAAGTCTTCATCACCTCTGGCTATAAGAGGCAGGCATGACACTAACACATGGCAACCTATCACGTCTAAAGGAGCGTCATTTCAGTCAACAGAGTCAACCTCCCCCTTATTAAACCATGACTCCGGCTGGTCCAAGGTCTATATTCCCTGCTCAACATCTGCAGAAAGGGCCAAGCAAGGGAGATTCAGTCAAAAGGCAGAAGGGAGGAGGGTAAAGACAGGGGCCACTGCTGGCACTGCTCACACATCAGCTGAGACTGCGTCAGGAGGAGGAGCACTTGACCCCAACCCTAGGTGCAGTTCCTGGGTGGTCTCTTACCGAGGTTCATGGGGTGGTCCACTCTGCTCTATCAGGTTGAACTCACAGGTCTGACTAGCGAACTGAGCATACTCTAACAGCCCGCTGATGGGGTTCTTCAACTGGCACTCGGTCAGTTTCTTGTAGGGTGAACACCGTGGCAAGCCATGACTGTAGAAGGAGGGCATCTCCATGATGGCTCGAAACTCACCTGGTGCTGAGCGGATACTATTCAAGTCATCTGGGATGTCATCTGTGGCCCACTGGCCATTTTCAAAGTCAACATACCCTGCTTTTGAGGGGCCATTGTTATAAGCAGGTGGTTTCAGTCTTATCGGTTCTGGTCTGGCCTCTTGCCCGTCCTCTAACTTTATGACAGGTTCCTGTCCATTCTCCACTTCTTCTGTGGTTACGACGTTAGTTGAAGCATTTAACATGGGTAAGTTACAGGTGAGGAGCTCTGTGCTTCTTTTGGTCTCAGGGGTAGTGGTTGGAGTGGTTTCGGGAGCACTATTTGTATTTCTCTTAATCTGCATCCTCTCTCGCTTCTTGTCCGTCAGATGCCATATGGGAGGGGTTGTCCCTTGTCTGTAGACATCCCCCTGCCTTTCCAACTCAATCAGCACAGCATTTACATCTCGGGCCTTGGTGAGGCCAATATTTTTAGCCAAATTCAGGGCAGAGGAGTCAGATACATTAAACAGGTAGTCACAAATTTTCTCCTTGATTTCAGCCATGTCAAAAGGCTCAGGAAGGTCTTCCAGAACAGATGTGGGGTTACTGTCTTCAGTTTCCTCACTGGGGTCTGAGTTTGGGGTTTCCTGGCTACAACTCTCTGGTCTCACGACTCTGCTGTGCTGGTTCCAAACCTGATCTGAGACTGCAGTTCTCCACAGAGGGGGTGTTCCTGCTTCCTGTTGCAGCTTACCCTTCTTTGCCAGAGAGTATAAAGCTCGATTGATTTCCTTCTTAGGGACCCTGAGTCTCTTAGCCAGCTCATGTGCTGTTGTGGCCTTGCCTTCTTCAAGCTCCTCCACGAGCTTTAAGACCCTCTGTTCCTGATCCTGGCTGATGCTCAGTTCCTGGAAATGTAAGGAAAGCCTATTAACATCTCTCCATGGCGGAATCCTGCCACGTGGAGAAGGATGCTGGAAACGTCTCTGGAGCTGCTGACTTCCAGGATGCACACTCCTGGGAACACCCCAGATCTCCACTTGTCTGCCCCTGGCAGGTAGCCCTGGAAGTCTTGGCCAGAGTCCCGGCAGGAAGGGTGGCAGTGATGGTGTCTGCTTTCCAATCAGGGACGCTTCTGGGCACTGCCCCTTGAGAAATTCTATTTGCTGGAGCTGGAAACTATCAAGGTAAGATCCTGACCGTGGCTGCTGGTGTCTGAGCGTGCTGTGCTCATAGCCTTGAGCTGGACAATGGCGGTAATTGTTGAGGAAACATCCCTGCAGAATAAGACCACGGAAACAAAAGTGAGATCGGGCTGCAAGGATGGGCCTGGGGAGTCCCCTCCTGTCCCTGCCAGGGGGAGCTGCCCCTAATGGCTGAGAAGGTGACTGAGCCAGGAGCTATGACCCAGCCAGGGTGACTCACTCATCTTGTAAATACTGCCTAGGAGCCCACCAGTGGGAACAGGTGGTAAAACACACAAAGCTTCCAGGAACACACAGAGGTTCAGACACCTTGGCCTCACCCCTCCGGCAACTTAACATATTCTTTTTCCTTTGACAGAAGTTTAGAAAGTTAAGAAAGTGCACCACTCACCAAAAACACTACCCATTTGAAATCAGAAAAACAGAAAGAGAACAATAATCTGAAAATGCCAAGGGAGCAAGGGGACTAAAGATGAGGCCACTCCTCCTTCTCGAGTCAGGCTCATCACTGTACATGCCCTCTGGACTATCATCTGGATGACCAAGACAAAGAAGGAAAGGGAAATTCATTGGTAACACCCAACCCCAGTCCTCCAAGGATGTAACAGCTCCCTAATAGGGACAGCCTCCACATGCAGAAGATCATCCCAATAAGATCAGAACTCAGCTGCAGGGGAGCTGGGAGGTTTCCTTGCAAAAATGGAACACTGTCCTCACTCTTCGGTGCGGGACCCAGGATCAGAACAGATACCAGGGACGTCTGCCCAAACCACCCTGCTCACCTGTGTATGGCGCTGGCAGGTTCTGCTCCCACCCCTTCAGCCCAGTGCCACCTTCCCTTCTACCTCCCGGTGGTACCGTCAGTATACTTTCTGAACCCCGATGGACAGGCCACAGGCAACCCGTATTCTCACATGCACATTTACCAGAACACTGAGCAGCTGTGACCCCCTTCCCCACCCACATATAAGCCAGTGCCCACAGGACTGGGGGCGCATGAACATCTTGTCCCCTTTCCCTGGGGCTTGCAGACTTGATGGGGAACATCTAGCAACAGCAATTCCCCAGGCGAAGTCTCCCCGCTCTCCTGAAGGCCACTTAGGCAGCTGGGATCCCTTCTTCACGAACTCCAGCCTTCTACTCCCCCACAACTCCTGTCACAACTGGCGGGTTTTAGCATTCTTGCTAATCACTCTCACGGAGTCCCCACTGCAGGCTTCCTTAGCTTCTGTCCCAGTGACCTCCATCTGCATCTCTCAGCCACATGCCTGGCTTGTCAAGCTCCTCCTTTCAGCCTCACCATTTCTCTAACCCAGGCCACCATCAGGAACTCAAATCCCTGAGCTCTTTTCCAGCAGGCTGGTCAACTTTTACTTTGGAGGGCCAGAGAGCTCTGTCACTGTAGTGAACAAGCAGTCACACACCATATGCAAAACTTTATTTACAATTTATTTACCATGAAACTTTATTTACAAGAACAGGTGGCAAGCTGGATGTGGCCCATGGGCCAGAGTTTGTGGATTCTTGCTCTTTTCTGATGGCAACTTCCCGTGTTTCCAAAACTCCCTCTATTCACTCTCTGGTGGAACCTGCTCTTGCTGGGACCCCACTGTAGCTCACGGCCAGTTCCCTTATCTCCCCAAGGCCCACTGTCCCCTGTTCCTTCTCTGCGGCTTCGAAATGGTACTAGAGAAGGACACTGACTTATGCTAACAGGGCCTGCATAAACTCCTGCTCTTGAACCTCAGTTGGGGCCTCACTGTTGGGTGGTCAATTCTGTTCAACAAACACACATTGGCTCACTGCAGGTGACATCCTCTTCTTTAAACAATCCTCCTCCCAGGTCTGGCGACACAGAACCAAAGGTCTCCTCTTACCTTTTCCCCCCTCCTGCCTGTCTCTGTCCTTTTCTTCCACCTCTTACATATAATCAGTCCCGGGGTTTTGTCTAAGAACTTCTTTTCCCTTTATAATCTTCTGCTAAGTTGATTTTATCCACTCCCCAACCTAAACTAGCCCTCTTAAGCAACAGCGCTCAAATCTACTATCTCCTGCCACTACTTTATGCTATTCAGCCTAAGAGCTGAATTTCCAACTATCTAGACAATTTGTCCACTTAAGTCTTCTGCCGTAACTCAAGTGCCACATATTCTGAACCAAATTAATCAGTCCCTTCAAACCCAGCTCCTTCTCCTGCTGCTCTTATTACTGCTAATGGCATCATTCTCCTCCTAGGTTATTAAGACCAGAAACCTGAGTCATCTTCGCTGCCTGCTGCCCACCTTGTCTAATCAGGCAGTTGCCAAGTCCTGTCTTGTCTTGTCTGCCACCTCTGTGTGTCTTTTCAGTGTGTCTGCTTCCTGTCCCAGCCCCTCATTACCTCACTTGGGCTCCTGCAAGCGCTGCTCATCTTTCTATTCCTCTACATGCCAATCCAAGCGGCCGCTTCTTGCTTTGCTGCTACCTAGCACAACTCTGATCCTTTCCTTATAGAATTCCTTAAATGCTACCTTCTTCAGCAGACTTTGACCCCACCTCCCCCAGGATCAGGGGTTTCCACTCCCTGAGCTGCTCCCACTCAGCATCTGTTACACCACTTACTTTACTACTGATCATAGCTACTGTATTTTTTTTAATGGCACACAATTAAAACTACACTGAGATACCACCTAACTCGTCAGAATGGCCATCATCAATAACTCAAAAAATAACAGATGCTGGAGAGGATGTGGCGAAAAGGGAATACACTGTTGGTGGGAGTGTAAACTAGTACAGCATCTGTGGAAATCAGTGTGGCAATTCCTAAAAGTTCTAAAAATCGACCTTCCATATGATCCCACAATCCCCCTACTGGGAATATACTCAGAAAAGCTCCGGTCACTCTATGAAAAAGATACCTGCACACGTATGTTTATTGCAGCATTGTTCACAATAGCAAGAACATAGAACCAACCGTGTTGCCCATCAAAAGAGGACTGGATTTTTAAAAATGTGAACATATATACAATGGAATACTATGCACCCATAAAGAAGAACAAAATCATGAACTTCGCAGCAACCTGGATAGAATTAGAGTTTATAATACTGAGTGATCTCTCACAGAAACAAAAAGCCGAGTATCACATGTTCTCACTCATAAGTGGACCTTGAACAACTACCATATTACTATAAGAAAAGGATTGAAAGTAGTGGGAAACTGTGGAGGCAGGGTGGGGAGGTGGGATTGACAGTAGTTGATATCTGCCTGGGGAAGGGTGGGGACATACCTCATCCATAAGGGTACCTGCACGGCGAACATTTGTATACCTGAACTGTACCCCACAGTTTTAAATGAAAATTAAAAGAGGGAAAAAAATGGCACACAGATTGCAGAGTATCTGAAAGGTAATTAGCAATATCAGGTGTCCGAGAAAGTATACTCAACTCTCCACTGCAATAGTCCCAATGTAGTACTGCTAAGGGGCTGCAGATGAATCCACAGTGAACTCCTGGGGTACAAGGGCATCTGTGCCTCCCCAGCACCTGGCACAAAGTTGATCCTGAACCAACATCTGGAATTAATGACTGCATGAACAAGACACCCCTACACAGTCATTTCTCTTTCCTTACCCATCTTGCTGCCTCGCCCCACCCTGCACATACATACCCCCATATTGCTAGGGACAGAGACAAACGTGTTCGGAGGGATCGGCCGGCTCACACAGCTCAACACGGAACTTTAGGGATTTTCTGATTAGCTCTTTGAGTGACCTTGGGAAATAGAACTTTGTTTCAAAGTGGCTAAAGTTTGTTTCTGGCTAAATACTTTCTTTAAACTGCTACTCTTGGCCAAAATCTGGAAAATATTTGAAAGTCCATCTATAGAAGAGTTAAATAAATTATGATACATTCATGCTATGGAATAGTTTCAGTCTTTAAAAAGTGTTGTATCTATTTGTATTCACCTGGAGAAGATTTTGTAACCATATGATGTTAACAAAACAACAAAAAAAGCAAGTTGAAGAGTAACATATATAATCTTTTTTGTAAACAAAAGGGAAAAAAGCATGAATGTCTGTGTGTTGTGTGCATGCTAGAATGCACACAGAGACCAGAAAGAAATGATACATGAATTTGTTTAAGGTTATTTTAGGACAGTAGAATTAGAGGATGAGGAGATTATTTTTTCTTTTTATCCTTTAAATGCCCTAAAAACCAAGCGACCCCTTGAAAACAGCCATTCCAATAGCTGCTGCGTGGAAGTGAGAGCAAGGAAGTGAGATGCCAACCTGGTGGTCACTCCTAAACACCTCGACACTACCTTTCCCATCTCATGGCTATTTACTGTACAAACTATGTAACAAGTCGTTTCACATTCATGGTCCCCCAAATTTCACTTTAATCGAATCATATATTTAGGAAAGAGATAAGCTCCCCCTCCTTGCCTTTTCCACATGGGTTCCACAGGTTTTTTGGTTGTTTGTTTTTGCCATTATCTAGGACAGAAATGACCATACATACCCTAAGTAAAATTTACACAGTAAAATTTACCCTTTTTGGTGTACAATTTTGTTTTGACAACCACTATCATCACAATCAAAATACAGAGCATTTCTATGTCCCCATATAGTTTTCTCATGCCACTCTGCAGTCAACTTCTCCCACCCTCAGGCCCTGGCACCCACGGGTAAGTTCTCTGTCCCTATAACTTTGCTTTTTCCAGACTGCCATATAAATGGACCACAGAGTATGTAGCCTTTTGAGTCTGGCTGCTTTTGCTTAGCACAAAGCATCTGGGAGTCCCTCCACGCTGCTGCATGTATCAGTAGTTCCTTCCTTTGTATTGCTGAGTAGTCTTCATTGTATGAACGTATCTGTTTATCTACTAACCTGTTCAAGCACATTTATTTTTCCATTTTTTAGCTATAATGAACAACTGCTCCAATTTTCTCCTACAGGTTAAGGAGGGCTAGTTTTAATTCCCAGAAGGCCTTCAGGAGGTGGAAAGGGTGCAGAGCGGAGGCTGCTAAAAATAACGAAAGTTGTTCCAAGTGAGGCTAAAGAGGGGATGGCCAAGGAGCCCTAACAAACAG